GGATTGACACCCAGTGGAGGTTAATTGGAAAAATTGAAAGGTGCTGATGGAATTTTAAAATATAGTGAACTCTCTAGAATTATGTTGGCCATCTTGACAGTTCCCCATAGTAATGCAGAGTGTGAGAGGATTTTTCAGTGTTGTTGCGAAAACGAGGACTAAATTTAGATCTAATATTAGTGATGACACATTAGAAAAACTTTTATTAGCGAAAGCAGGCCTACGTGGCAATTGCTATGAACAAAATTATGAAGTTTCTTTCTTAACGAGAGCAAAATCTGCCACTGTCCATAACATTTGTATGAAAACTGATTAAAGTGCCCCTTTTTTTTTTTTTTTTTTTTTTTTTTTTTTTTTTTAAACGATGAAAGTAATAAAAATGTTTTTTATGTCTAAGGTATTTTTGTTTTGCTTGCATTTAAGACTTAGTAACTATTTAAAGTTAATTCATTATTAAAAACTATATTTTTATCATTTAAAAAGTCTTTGTAACATTGTGAAAAATCTCCTGATTTCTTAAAAAAATCTCCTGATTTTTGAGTGTCATAGGTTGGCAAGTATGACTGTGAATACTTAATGAGGAGAAGCGGTATTTCAACCGCGAAGTTCTACTTGCTGAGTTAGAGAGAATCAGAGTTTCTGATTTGCGCGCGTCTGCCTTTTGACTACTCTCTCTCAAAGCTGTTATTACGTTTGGCCGTACTCAGGCTCTTGGTAGCTTCGCAGTCATCTCGTGTTTAAGGGGCCAACTGCATTAAAACTTTGATTGCTGCGGCTATATCTCTTTAGTTTAAATTAGTTTTAGTTTACTTCATAGCCTCTTAAGTTCAAGCCCAAGTGTCGGCTTTTATTGTACACTCCAAGACGGAGTTCTGCTAAATCTTATTTGAATAATAAAGGGTTATTTACCCTTTCATCTTGTTGTTTCTTGTCACACGAACTCAAGCAATTATTCGCTGAACTATTCTTAGGATTCTTCACGTTCCACAATACTTTAGCATTTACAAAGTGAGGAACTCTACAAAGTGACTAACAAATTGTTTTCTGTTATCAGATATTACTTTTACTGGGGCCCCATATTTTAAAATATAATTATTTAAGAACGAATCTGACACTAATTTTGCTGATGCTGATTTAAGGGAAATTATTTCCACCCACTTCGAAAAGTGATCAACGATAGTTAAGAGATATCCATTCTTATTTAACCTTATTCAAGGGTAAGGTCCGAGCAAATAAATGCCCACCAGTTCATTGTGGAACGTGTTCTTTATGTTATTTAAGTGTCCGGCTGGATTATAATTAATGTCGTTGATTAATTGGCACATATGACATGATCTGACACACGCCGTTCCCCCTCTGTAACTGCGGAAAATCAACCGCTTCGCGGATCCTTTGCAATGTTTTTCTGATACCTAAGTGACCCGAAATGGGCGAATCACCAGCTCCTTTAAAATATTTAACCGTAGACTCGCTGGGATAACTGGCTGGTATTCGTGATTCTTGTTAGTTATTTTCGTATAAAACAGCAATTTATCAATCACTTCATAGTGGGCCGTTCTGTTTCGAATAGCCATTATGTCCACATGCTCGAGATGTTCGGTGTCTTCAAGGTATACATAAATATCTTTGAATTTCGTCTTCAGATCTGAAATTATTGTTTCACGGGACTCAATTATTCTGAAAATTAGCATCGTACATCTGACTGTATTTCCGTCTTGGGCAATCTGAATTCTTGATGGGGCATCCGCGACAACGTTTTCTTTACACGGCGTGTGCGTTATTAATAGGTTAAACTCTTGTAGCTTTAACATTCAACGTATAAACCGGGGTGAAAGATTCTTCCCGAATACAAATGACCAACTGCCGTATGGTTTGAGTAGACTGTCACTGGGGCGCTTTCAAAGTAAACTTGGAATTTCTGGACTGCTAGTAAGACAGCGAGAGTTTCTCTTTCTGTCGCGGTATAGTTGCGTTGAGTTTGATTTAACGTTTTACCATACTAGGCTATTGGCTGCCCATCGTGCGAGAGGACGGCCCCAGTTGCGAAATCAGAGACGTCTGTTGCAATTTCTAAATTCTGGTCCCCTTCTGGGAACTTGATAACTGGAGCGCTGATTAATGCGTGCTTTAATTCTTCGAACGCAGTGTTCGCCTCTGCGATCGAAGTGAATCTAGTTTCTTTTTTTTTTTTCGTTTCAGAACCAGTAAGGGTTCTACTATCTTATAGAGTCCTTGATAAATGATCGGTAATGCGAGCACATGCCCGAAAAAGATGCTAATTTTTTGGTAGTATCAGGAGGTGGACAACTCTTGATTGCTAAGCTTTTAGAATTATCGGTTTCAGTACCATTTTCCGAGATCTTATACCCGAGATTTCTAACTTCCTTTGCCGCAAACTAGCATTTCTTAGGATTCGCCTTGCGTCCGGCTTCATTTAATAATGAAAAACTTCCTCCAGATGTTGGACATGTTCGTCGATAGTTCCTCTGGTAAGGATTATATCATCTAAGTAGATGAATGTAATTTTGCCTAAGATAGGTCTTTATACGATATCCATGACTTTTTGGACTGTAGCCGAAGCTCATCATAAGCCAAACGGCATTCTCAAGAAGGCATACACTCTTGACTTCGTAATGAAAGCTGTTTCCTAGACAGCCTCGGGTTTTACTGCAATTTGAAAATATCCTGACGTCAGGTCTAGTGTAGTCATATACTTAGTAAATCGGAGTTTTCTGATTATCTCATCAATTATCGTCGAGGATACGTAGGATATTTAGTTATACTATTCAGTTTGCTGTAATCAACGGCGAATCTCCACGAATTCGGATCTGACGGTGGGAGGCCACTTCGTCTTTGTACATAAAACTACCGGGCTTGCGTAGGGGCTGCCACTTGCAACAATTATTTTATTCGCCAGTATTTTCTTAATATGCTGTTCTAAAATCTCTTTCTCACTTGATCATACCGATACGGCTTAGACCGGACTGGGCGGATATTTCCAACATTGATCATATGCTGCATAGCCTGGCAGAAACCTGGCTTCTCATCAAATAATTTACAAAAATTTCTTGCCAAAATTTTCTATTTCCTTTTTCTCCTCTTCTTGGAGGTGGTTCAGGTCCACGTCTGGAATATCCCCTCTTCTTCTTCGACAGCATCCATCAGGACCTGTAAGGCCCAGATGTAAGGTCCAGATTCTTAAAATTTAATTTAACACTTGCTGCGCGTAAAAAGGTGACCCCCAAAATAACCGAAGTTAGTAAATCCTTCACTACCAGAAAATTAACTTTTTGTGTCTCATTCTTTAGCTGCACGGGCAGCTCTACTTTCCATAAACAGATACACTGTTTTCCTTGGGCGGCAATTACCCTCTGTCCCGTGATTTTTAAATAGCCTGTAACGATAAAATTTTTTTTTAAAGAAGTCTTGCGACAAAAAGCTGCATTGCGCTCCAGTGTCGAGTGAGGCGGTAGTACAGACGTTGTTCACTAAAATATGAATTTTGGCAAGGCCAAATTTTGTAAAACTACCGTATTTAATTTTATTTTCGAGATATTTTTTTCAGGAGGTGACCGGCCCTTCTCAGCCACTCTGATCAGTTTAAATCTTTTTATCCCGCCTCTTGCTTCTGCTGCTTCTAATTGCGATATTCAAATGCTTTCGACTGACCCGTCTTCTTGTTATCACTTTTTTCAATCTTCCCGGATTGTCGAGAAGAATACTGCTTACTTTGAGGATTCTGTTGAGGTGAAAACCTCGAATACTGGCGGTAATTTGCTGAACACGCGTTTACAGCAGTTTATCTGCTCTGAAACTTCACGGTAAGCTGGAATAGGTTTTCCAATGTCTGTGGATTTCTTACCTCTAGGAAATCTTGAATTGACGGAAGCAGACGCGGCAAAATTACTTCGATTAGTTCATTATCTAGCCTCTTTCCATACAAGAGATTAAAAATTTGTATTTTCCCCAAGATACAGTGAGTCAAATCTTCGACGTTTGTGTGATATTTACTAAGTAGTTCTGCTTCTAGCTTTGCGTCGACGGGGAATGCTTTCAATTGCGGGGTTTTAAGATTGTCCCATGTGTAGGTTTCGGAACATGGATCCACAACATCAATTTTCCAGTGTCCTTAAACTAACTTAGGGCCTGGCCTTTCAAGTTAGCTGTAGCAATTGTTACTTTCTGCAGTAGGTTTACGGCATGCAATGTGAAATGCAGGTCCAGCTGCTCTAGGAAAGTCATCTCCGAACCTTTGCCATTAAACGTCGCGGCTGGCTTCATAGCTGCCCAAAAGGATTCTAAAATGAAACCAAATCCCTCCATAGGTTTCGCTGGTGGCTATGGGATTTGGAAAGTAGGAGAGGTCAGCGTAAATTTTTTCTTATCTAACAACGTGGCTCGTCAAAGTACTTTGAATGCCAGTGTAATGTTCCTCCTTTTATCTATTAACTAAGTGAAGACCCTAGTCAACTACTAAGCGAATAATCGTTTAAGTCCAAGACCAGAAACGTAAACTCAAGAAGGGTTAATTACACTTTATTGCTCAAAATAAAGATTAACAGATGGCCCCTTTCTTAAGACGTACAACAAAGTCTTCACTTGGGCTTGAACTCAAAAATTTAAATCGTCACGATCGCAAAAGTCCTTCTTGGTGCTTCGATTTTTTTGCAAAAGAATGTATCTTCCTTATTTGAAATTTGGTTCTTAAGTAGCAGTAATAGTCAAGTAATATGCATTTATGACGGAAACGCAGGGCATATCCTAATCTGTTGATTAGAATTTGAAGAAATTCTGATTACTTGTGTAAACTCCGTACCTGTATTAAATGGGTAATTATTAGGCACTTAAAACAATAATATTTAGATATGTCTATAGTTCTTTATTTTGATTAAAGTTTTAGATATCTATCAAATAATGACAGCAATTATTCATTAAACGAATTAAAAAAAAATTTTTTTCTTGTCATTCTAGCTCCACACAGAAAAACAACTCGCCCTTCTACAATCAACACATGTAAACAAACATTTCTTTACGAGTAATCGAAAGGCGCCGAAGCAAAGAAGATTCTTTGGCCGAAGTGTCTCTGGGCGTTTAGTATTTCTCGGGGCATTTAGTCTCTGGGCATTTAGTATGAGAGCATTTCACGGCTAGACAACACATCGAAGAAAGGAAGGAATGTCTGGCTGTACTTATCTGTGCAATTCGGTAAAAATTTTCAACTGGCGTTTTCGTCTTTGTTATGCTTTATGTGGGTTAATGGTACGAAGGATGTTAGATTGTATGGTTCGAAGCTATAATTTGAACGTTTCGTTTTAAATGTTAAGATTTTCCTGGGTTTAATCGCGATCGTGTTGGATAATGCGTCTGAGAATTTCTGTAGTACTACAGCGATTGTTTCTTTTCTTGTTTTATAAATTCGTGCTATAAAGATATGTCTGAATATAACATTTCGGGCTTTCATCCGCAGAGAATCCGTTGGCGTTTCTCAATTTTGGAAATTCTAGGACTATGTAACTAATGTGTGGTCTGATGTGTATGCTTTGTGTTTCAGTTTTTGAAAAATGCGGTTTTGCGTATTGGGATTTTTGTAGGTTTTTGAAAACCGAATAGTGTATTAAAATATGTATATATATATATATTTTAATACACTATATATATTCACATGCACTTATATATCCATCTTCATTATAATTTATATATGTACACTTATGAGTTTAAAAATTAAAAGTTCGAGGTGATGTTATGGATTCTGGGAGAAGTAAACTTTAAATAAGAGCCAAAATGGAACATGTAAAAAGGGCAAAGTGAAAAAGTTTAAAAACCTAAAATATATTTGCATGTGGCAGAGGAAACGTTATTTTAATAAAAATTAAACCACAAAAAAATCCATTGCTGATCATTTGTAAAATTGCAGCACAAAAAGGACTCTGAAAGGAGCGTTACAAATGATGGCGAATTGAATATTTCTAAAGTGATTGACTATTACTATCCTACTGCTGATTATATAAGTCAAATTAGAACTCTTTTCTAAAGTGTCTTTTAGAAAGCAAGAACAATTTTTTTTTTTTTTTTTTTTTTGTAAAATTTTTATTTTTCAGTATGTAAAGATTGTGGCTTTGTCATACCAACATTGATAGTTTGCTTTGAGAGACATTTGCCTGAGTAAACTTCTTATGAATTGACATACATGAAGCAGCAATTTAAAAGTTGCAGAGTGTACTGCTGAAGCAGTACTTTGCTGTTGGAATTTTTAAATTGTGATATTGGTGCAGGGTCACGAGACGAGTTTTTCGGATGGAGGGCATTTCTAAAAAAGTAGAACAAAATTTATTTGCAGTACATATTATGTGTTAAGCTTTTAAAATCAGACTAAAAGAACAAAGTAGAAGAAGTGTGTTATTAATGTTTATCCCTAGATACTAGTTCTAGTAAATTTTGTTCTGTCATTAAGTGCTTATAAAAATCTTGTGAATGCCAGTTAATTTTACATTTGTCTGGTTATGAACTTCAAATGATAGACCAGAGCATGAAATTGCACTTATAGTTTAAATTGCTATAGCCACATCATTGGAGTAAAAACTTGGCTTATTATGGCCTCCATCCTTGTTTTCTTCTGCAGATGTGTTCTTCTCTTCTCTTTTAATTATTATATAAACTTCGCTTGAAGCATAAGTACTCTTGTTAGATTTGTAGCTGATTTGATGGCTAAATTATCTGTTAAGTTAATAATTTTTCTTTGCCCCAATAAGTTTTTCATCTAGTTTAAAAAATTTTAGAGCAAAGAATGAATTGGTGTTTGAGTATCCAACAAAATTTCAAATTCCTCTTCCCTGTTTATATGATAATGCTACATAGCTCCATTCTTCTTTGTTTGGATCACATGAAAAACTTGAATGTACAAATTGTCACAGAATGTACTATGTTCTGAAACAAGAATTATTGCACAGAAACAAAATATTAATTAATAAAATGCCGATATCTTTTCCAGCAGTTTTTTTTTTTTTTTTAAATTTTTTTATCAGTTTAAGAGAGATCCTTTTTTTTTTTTTTTTTTTTTTTTTCTAATGTCTGCTCTTATTTCACTAAGCTTTAATCATAAATTAAGATCTACTTTTAATTTTGTTCAATATTTTTTTTTTCCAACTATAACATGAAAGAGCTTTATTTGAAATGCCTTTAAATTCTTCTTTTAAGTTCAGCCAAAAGTTAACAGTGTGTTATTTTTTAAATCTTCAGTTAGTTTGATCACAGGAAATTTCTATCAGTTGTTCTTTTCCTTCAGGAGATTTTTGAATTTAACAGTAAAAAATACTTTGTTTCTTTACGTACCACCTATTTTTTTTTTTTTTTTTTTTGCATACCACCAGTTGAGAATCGCTGGTTTATACTAGGTTACTATACTACAAGGTTTGCTTTTGTGTTATGTAACCAACTCCTAGTCTGCTCAAAAGCAACTATTTCCTTTCTGTCTTCTTTCTTTTACTTTTGTAAATAAATATCAGCCTTGGAAAGAGGTTAACGTTGTTTGTCAACTGACTGTGATTCATACTATCTCTTGGTTTCTAGGAGACATCTTACTGCATGTCTACGTAACAGTGTCCTTTACAAGAAATTTCAAAGTTATTGGATTATTGATCTTTACATTTCTTCCCATGGGGATGTTTAAATTTGTTGTTTATGACACATAGCCCAGAAATCTTAGCAAATTTTTTAAAAAGAATTTTTGAGTGCTATAATTTCATGCTAAATATTTAATGAAACATATACCACAATCTGGTCAGTTGCTGAAATTTGGTCCTAAAGAAATAAAGAAATGCAACGTATATAATATTTAGCACATGATATACAGAATAGTTAAAAGTTTATACTTATGCTATTGAACTTTTTTTCTACTTTTCACTGCTGTTTTTAATTAGAGACCAGCAATCCTTTAAAACAGATTTTCTAAAATGTCAGAAGTATTATGCTTTTTTTGAAGGATATCTAAAAACCCTTCAAGCAACTTAGTTTTAAGTCATAAACATATTCTTAATTTAAGAATTATTTAAATTTGTTAACTTGTAAGTGTTTAATTTCAAGTTAATCATTAATTGTTTAATAATGAAAAGTCATGGAAAAATTTTCTGATTAAAATCAGAGCTGCATTAATCATTAATCACTTGCTGAGGGCGTCAAGGAAAGGTCTTTAGGTATGTTTTAGACTTGAAAGAGAAAGAATGGGGAAAAAATGTTTAAATATATGTTGAGGCGCCAACATTTTTCCAGTGCTTCTAAATATCTTAGTCTAAGCCTGATTAAAAATCTGTGCTTTCAACAAATATCTAGATATTGCAATTCTATTACACTATCATAAATTCAGTACTTAATTACTTATTCATTGAAGCTTTAAACATACCCAAATATGTCAAGAATAATTTTGGAATTACATAAATTCATCAAACAGTAAAATCGCTGAACACCAGCTAGTGGACCTGGCTTCAAATCCTAGCAAAGGGGCTAGCTGCATGACTAGTTACATGGATTTTCCTCATGTTTAACTTGAACCACATTAAACATCCTTTCTGAAACAATCTCTCCCTTTAGGTAGATATCCGTCAATTCAAATCACACAATGAAATAGCATAAAAAAGGAAATACATGTTATCGCATATCCACAAAATATACCAAAAGAAAATATCGACTAATATCGACATAGTTAGAAATTTCTGTGGCACATAAAATTCATTAACAACATCTAAAAACATTCTAGAATTATCTGAAACATACTGCTGTCACCACATAAATTCACAAAAGTAAGAGTAAAAAATATCCTGCGTGGTGCCCGATTGTCGGTGGCATTGAGCCTTTCTTGCGACAAACCCGTTCAAAACCATCTGAATGATATTTACATTCGATCATATGCATTTCCTTAGTACAAACAGGATACTTAAAATGACTACTAAGTAAACCTTCATTTACACAGCAGTCAATGCTTTTTTCTCCCTTTTGTTCCAAATCATATGGAAACTTCAGATTAATCTCATCAAATACAGCCATTTTATGGTGTATGACACAAAATAAGCAACGTACTTCCTATCTGACTTCCAATGCAGAAATAAGCCCTTAATAAATATTTTCTTATAGATCAAATTTACTGCAATCATGCAACCAAACAAGTCATAATAGAGTTTCCATAACATTCAACTACTCAGGTTAGCATAAATGAAACAACAAGTTGGCAATGTATGAAGCAACAACTTAGCGATAATCCAAGGGGCACCCTAAAATATAGACTAACCTGAAGTTTTTACAGATTGATCAAGGCAGATTTGAAGACAATATCAAGGATGGGAACAATTTAGATAAAATAATTAAATGCACAAATTTTGCTATAACGAAAAACAAATTATATGCATTGAATAGTAACTCTTTATGCTTTACACATTGTCTGGGCTACCGAGAATTTGTATCCACATGATGTGTGACTTTTGCCTCACTGTGCATATGTTTATGTATAGATTTCTGTATCTGTAGTCAAAGTAATATGGGACACAATTTGTACTTAAACTCATATGGAAATGTTAAGATTTTTCACATGCAATATATAATTCTTTCATTGTTTTGGGATAGCTATTATGTATTTCGTTGAATTTTTAAAGAATTATAAGTACTGAAAATAAAAGCTACCGTTTCCTATTCCTTCTTCTTCAAGATGCTAATCTAGCAATGCAATTTTTTTTTTCCAGGGGCTGTTTTAACATTCTTTAAGTTTATTTTTTAACATACCAAATCTTTCCTTTCATTTAAATTCTTTTACTATTCCATTTATGTTTGCATTCTTACTTTTGGAATTCATATTTTGTATATTTTTGCTTACAGTTTTAAGATTATGGAGTATGGTCACAATTACCAAATTTAGGTGTACATTATTATTGATTTTAGAGTTCTGAAAATTGTCAGGATGTTCATCAGATACCTTGGAAACATTATACATTTTAAAGTGTACTTGCTGCTTGTTATTCTATATTATCTTTTTGTATAGTAGGCAGTGAATTTTACTTAAGGCAGTTAGTTGTAAGAAAAGGATAGGATGTAATTAAGTGACTAAATTGTATATCCATTCCTGCTAATACAGACAACTGTAGACTCTTAATCCTCAACTCCTCATCTCAAGAGGAGAAGAATTTGACTTGATTTTGTTAATCCTTTGATATATAATGATGTTTGGGGTGAGTAGTTTATTATTAATGTCAAAACAGATTTGATATATCTTGGATGTTATGATGATGTTATAGTTAAGATATTTTCCCCTTCCTTACTGCATGCCTTTGTAGTATAAGTAGCTAATGATTGGGTGGTCTGGTGTTCGAATCCTGGTCAGGGCATTGTACATTTTTCATGGCCTCCTGCTTAAAAAAACAAAACAAAAGCCAAGTGATGCCCAAACTAAAAGGTGGTGGACGATGATGTGGATTTGATGAACAAGCAAAATCAAAACTTATCAGCCCGAGCATTTCATAAGTGAAATAAATGCTTATTTTCCTCTTAAAAGAAACAGCATACTTATTTCCATTCTTGTTTGCAACATGTTACTTATTTTTTACATAAAATATAACAAAATTTTAAGAAATAAAGCTTATGCAACGCTTATCAAGAAACGCTCGAAGTAACGACGTTTTTGGCTCAACTCGTTGTTGCCACACGGCGAATCTTAATAACTATCCAAAACATTACATCATGTTGCCACTTAGGAAGTCTTAATAATTATATGGAAACATTAAATTATATTCCACTACAATGACTCACCTCTAGGGTTTTGTCAGTTGGGTTCCCTTTTCTCCAGTTACTCTCTAAAATGGGGAGTATATAAGGTGTTTCCTCCCTCCTTTCCATGTGCCTTTGTGATGTAATTGGATAGCACGTCCTCTGAGCAGTCAGGAGGTTCGATGTTCGAATACCAGCTAAGGCATTGCACATTTTTCATGTTTCCTGCTTTGTAAAGAGGGGTGGGGGAAATAACAACTACGAGTTACATGTAAAATTTTCTCCCTTTTTTATTATATTTAAGAAGGTAAATAGATATTCAATAACTGCAAATTAGTCTTAAAAGTAAATTAATTCACATTTGTAAGCACATCAACTTATAGTGCCACCAACACTGGCTAAAGACTAAAGGAAAGATTCAATAATTCCTTGGACTATGGGACTGTGCTCAGAACAAGCCACATGTGAATCTTACAAAAACTGTCATCAAGAAGCAGTAAGCATGACTGATAGGGAACCCATGTTCCTTCAGCTAGTCATCAAAAAGGGATGACAAACCAGCATTCCCAAGTATGGGAGAAGTAACAGACACTGTTATCAATTCACAATTCCCTTTTCTTCAGCAACTTCAAACCCATTGAATCTCCGGTATTTTTCCATAACTTCAAGGAACTGGAAATTGGGACCTCCAGAAAAGAAATAACCATTTCTGGCCTTTCTTCTTCTTCAGCATCTCCAATTTTCACTTCCTCAGAAATTGTAACAAAATAAATCAAGGTCTTTTATCTTATTCACATGTCAAGGGGCTAAACTCCATTATAAGGTTTCCAGATTCAGCCTGAAGCTTTACCTGCCACTGTAGCCTAAAGAAGCAGGCCTTCTCTTTTTGCTAACTCTAAGGACGAGGTAGTTGTATAGAATACTGAGTACAGATATTAGTGAACGTACAATATAGGACTTCAAGAGGGAAAGTGTGCGAGTGATCCAAGGGGGAAAGTATATGAAGTGAATGATGTTTTGCGTAAATTTATGAAGTATTCTTTGTAATAGTATAACAATTGTTGAAGACAATTCTGCTATTTCACCCTTGTCTTTTAGTTATTAACTTAATTATTTAACCTTACCCTTCGGATATTAACTAATTTATTTAACAATCTTATCAACTGGACTAATTTAATCAATTTATATATGTATATATAGTATTTATTAATCAGTAATTGACTTTGTATCAGTTTGAATTAAAAGAAATCAAAGAAGGTGAAATAAAATAGATGAATTCAGCTATTTTTTTAACTTGTGAGGCAAAATAGAAGGAGTTTGTTTTTATACTTTTGATGTAAGAAAACATATATCCTCTTCCATTAATAAGAGTGGAAGGAGAAAGAGGCAGGTTTGAGCTAGTCAAAGATCAATTAGTCAAAATAGTATCTTAGTTACTTGCTTCATTCTTTTTCAGTTTAAACATTATGTATTTAAATGTTCTACTTTTTATTTTAAAGATAATTTGTATATTTTGTATCTTTTTTTAACACAAATGTCAAACCTTTTTGTAAATAATTAAGTATAACAAGTGATGTTAGCTGGAAAATATAGTTTTTTCCTTTTCTTTCTTTTTTTTGAGATGATGGTTTTGTAAATATATTTTTATATACAAAATGATGGCTCCACACCATTGTCTAAATGGAATGTATTTCTTGTAAGTTTTGTTAAATTTAATTAATCAAAAATTTCCTTGTCAGTTGCTTCTGTACGTAGCCTGTTTTAATAACATGCTGTTCATACACAACAGGTGAAGAAATTTAAAGCATCTGCATCAGAATGCATAACTTTTTAGACTTAATATTTGTAGTAAGTAATTTTGAGATGAAAATTCCTGTTATATTCTATGCTAATTGATAAAAGTATATACTTTTTTTTTTTAATTTCCTTTTTACTGTTTTGGTTTAGGAAAAGACAGAAGTTTCTGTGAGCTAGTATAATTCCCATTTTTATCAAGGCCATCTTAAGCAATTGCTTAAATTCTTTATAATTGAGAACTGAAAGTTTATAATTTGCTGTGTGATAGTTAACTAGAATTATTTTTGTAATGATTATAAAAAAAATTAAGTGCGTAATAGATTTTTTATCCCCTCCAGGGTTTCTATTTCAGAGGAAGGTCTGTATGCCGAGCATAGCTGTGTTAGCATCTCTTTATTATGATGAATACATAAATGTACTTTAAGTTTTGTGTTGATGTAATGTTTTTTGAAACATAATCTGGATCTACCAAAAACATGGACTGGAAATGGTATGTTTGAGCATTCAGATTCATTTTAGCATGTATTATTTTTGATTAATCATATTTTGATAAAATTATATGAGGTACTCAGTGTATCAACTGACATATGCCAATACATCGCTAAAAATTCATCTAACTCTGATTCGTGAGAATGTTTGATAATCCTAGAAACTGCTGAAGATTGTTCTAAATGTGTGCAATGTTTTATTTCTTCTTCCCCCCTTTATTTATTTATTTATTTTTTTTAATGTTCTCTATTTTTAGGGGTCAGAGGAGAGGTTAGGAAGGGTGTTGATAGCTTTATTTCTTATTTTAATGTTAATTTCAACCAAGTACATACCTATATTACGTGAAATTTTTGACAACCTTTTCCTAACAGAAATTTTTCAGCACAAAATATTTGTTCATCTCATGTTAATTTTTACTGTATTTTACTTTGTGCAGTGAATGCATTTGTTGAGATATAGAACAGTAACAGTTGTATAGGATATACCGTTTTAAATGATGGTACATGAAATGAAAATTAGTTACAAAATTTGGAAATTTGTTGTGATTTTTAATGGATGTATTCAAAATTTTTATATTTGCAATACTGTGCGAAAAATTTTGAAAAGCCTTCCCTAAGTAAATATGATTATGAAGATTCTAAACTTAATTGTGACAAATTACTTCCAGTTCATTTTTTTTCTCTCAGTTGAGGGAGTTTTTCAATGATGATGAACTTTTGGCCTGCAGAAAGAGTTAGACTTTCAGTATCTGCTGTTAATCATCTGCTAAATATTAAAACTAATTCAGAACTTTCTCGTTGTGAATTTTATCATGTAATTAAAGCAAACAAACCATTTCTGATAAAAGTCATGTCTAGTAAAAAATACAGCTGAATAAATAAAGTTTAATGTTACCATTAACTGTTAAGATTTTAAGTAATTTATAAAATATGCCCTGTGTTGAACCCAGAAAAATATAGTATACTTAAGAAGAAGAAAATTTTTGAAGAACTGATTTCCTCCACTCTTAGTTTAGATGTACCTGAAAAGCAAGGTTTTGTAATGCAATAAAAATTTTATTTGCGAATTTTTTTCTAATTTGTCTGAAAAAACACATTTTTCTCCCTTCTTTAATATAGATCAGAAATTATGTCAAAGATTTCACAGCCAGATTCTGTAAATGGTCTTAATATAGTAAACAATTATGTAAGCAATGATCTGTATGGAATACAGGATGTTTGGGCCAATAATATGGAACAAGAATTCATGAAAATCAGGCAGATAATTCAAAACTATACTTATGTAGCTATGGTAAGATGTTACCTCTTTCTCTCTCTCTCTATATATATATTATTTTGGAAACTTTTTTATTATAGTGGTCCCCAACCATATTTCGCAATCTTAGATTTGCACCAAGATCTCAGCTGTAATTTTGCCAAGCTTATGAAGTGCAAATGTAAAAATAAACAACATAATATATAATAATACTCACATGCTGTTTTCTAAGAATCTTTATCCTTATTATTTTATTGCATGTAATTATTCCAGTCAACTGCAGCACTTTCACACATATTAAGCTGTTTATTACACCATTTCATGGATGTTAATTCCTGTGCCCAAGAATACATAAATCTAATAGCAGTGATGAAGGATAATCCGGAACCATTGAAACAATTTCCAACATAGAGGCCCTCCTTTTTGTAATTTTTAACATTGCACCTCCAAATGGTTTCAGTGTTAACATAAAGTTTCATATAATGGCCATTTACGCATACCTGTTTATCAGGTGAAAGTCCTCTTTCTTGAAAAATGGCATTCACCTAATTGCTTGGTAAATTAAAGATTGCTAATGTCATATTCACACACACACACACACACACACACAAAAAAAGCAATGAATATATTTTTAAATAAACAATGTGAATTAAAAACTCTCATGAAAAATGAATACTATAAAAACATATGGCGAGAGCAAAAATGTAACACATTGCTAATATGCAACTATGTAGTGAGGTATAAGAACACACAACTGGTGCTAATACACAATCACATGTTTAGGTAAAAGAACATGCTGCCATGGGGAGATATCTTGGTTAATAGACAATTCAATCTCAGTGGCCACTATAACAAAGGAGTACCTTATTTGATATTATAAAAAATAGTCTAAAGAGGAAAAATTTAGTTTTTTTATTTTGCATGTTTACATTAAAATTGTTCTTGAGTAGTTAAAGTATCAGTATATTTTCAAGAATAATAATTTTACCTGTTTAAATTATTTGTGCATTTAGCATATATGTTACTATTATCATTTTTTTTTTTTTTTTTTTTTTTTCTGTAATCTGTGATTTGAATACTTATTGCATAGTCTGTGAAACCAATTCGAAATTTGAAATTCCATTTTTACTACGCAAGTGGTAAATCAAGTTCAGTTAGCCATTTTCCAGTCAGCCCAACTTTAATGAACTTTCTCTGAAATCTCAACATTAAGAAAATTGTATATATATGAAGACTTATCGTAATACAGTAAGACTTTGGTTTCTGAATTTAATTCATTCCTGAAGGCCATTCATCATCACAAATGTTCATAAACAAATTATTTTCCTTATAGGGAAAAAATATTTGTATATTTAAACTGTTTTCTCCATAGGGATTAATGTGAAAAGGATTAATCTATTTCTGGGCCATAAACGATGATCATTTATATAAACTTTATAACAGAGTTTTGTGCACAAATTTATAATGCAAAACCAGTAGTAAATCTAAGACAAAAGATAAATATAAAATTAAACAATTGAAGAAGATGAAAATTTAGTTGTTCTATATCTGTGCAAGGGGAGTGGAGTGAACAGTGTAAGTGGAAAGTAATGAGAAAAAGAAAGGAAAGAGAGGTTATTGTTGTGATCAGGATTCTCTTTCCATTAAACATGAAGTGTCTTCCTGAGGCATCTTTTGTCTTTTCTCAAGTTCCAAAATATGCTTTAGCTTAGAAACTATTGGCAAGAAGGCAAATAAACCACCAATTCGATTTCATGAAGAATTCGGGTACAACTGTGTTAGTGCAAATTTTTGTGATGTTACAGTTCCAGATAACTTTTTGAGGAGGCAACAATATGCAGTGAGGCTGGACATTGGAAAGAGGCAATGGACAGTGAAATTAACAGTCTTGTTAAAAACGAAATTTGGACACTAGTGACTAGACGAGAGGATAAAGCAATTCTAGATGTAAAGCAGGTATTCAGAAGAAAACCAGGTAATGTTTTTAAAGCTAGATTAGTAGTTCGAGGTTTCTAGCAAAAAGATAGTATTGAGGATACTTACTCCCCTGTCATTAAGATGCAAACCTTAAAATTGTTACTTTCATATTCTTGTCAGTATAATTTAAATATTCATCAAATGGATGTTGAGACTGCTTTTTTAAATGGTTATGTTGTATTTGAGGTTTATGTTAAACAACCGCAAGGCTGTTATGATAATTTGAATAGGATGTATAAATTAAAAGAAAACACTATATGGGTTGAAAGAAAGGCCATATAGTGTTTTCTTTTAATTTTTTCTGCTTGGTATGAGTGTTTTAATGAGTATATTGAGAGTCTAGGATTTCATAGAAGTAAATAAGATTATTGTATTTATGTAAAATCTGAAAATGATGTATTTGTATATATTCTTTTATTTGTTGATGATTTGTTGGTATGTTGCAAAGATACTCAGGTAATTAATGATATTAAGGAACAACTACATAATAAATTTAAAATGAAGGATTTAAATAAAGTAAAAAGCTACATTGGAATTGATATTGAATATGATAATGAGAAAAGTAATATCTTAACATTGAGTCAGGAAAATTATATTGAATCTTTAGCTAAACTGTATGGTATTGAAAATTCAAAGGCCTTATGATAGACCAATGGTGAGATTAATCTTAAACTAAGCCAATCTAATTTAAATCAAAAGGTATCAAATATAGAAATCTAATAGGGAGCACTCTTGTATATTAGTCATGGTACTAGACAGACATATCTTTCAACGTAAATTATCTAAGCAGATTTCAAAATTGTTATGATGAGATTTTTACATTTCAAATATGCTTTGAAGAGTTTTAAAGTATTTGTACTTAACAAAACATCTAAAATTAATCTAAAATTTACTATTCAGTTCTATAGTAAAAATCTTAAAACTGATATTATGAATTGTTATGTTGATGCTGATTGGGCAGGTGATATTGTTGATAGAAAAGTCAACTACTAGGTTTGTTATTGAATTATTTCGTAACCCAATTTATTGGAAATCCAAAAAGCAAAATTGTGTGACAAGATCTTCCACTTTTGCTGAATATGTTGCTCTATCTGAGGCTGTGACAGAAATTAATTTCTTAAAAAAATGTTGTGAATGATTTTTTTGCTGATATAACTCACCCCATTAAAATTTATGAAGATAATTCAGGAGCTTTGGCCATTGCTAATTATGGGATCTTCACTAAAAGTTCAAACCACATAGAAGTTCAATATTATTATTTACACGAAAATGTTCAAAATGGAGTAATTGAAATTGTAAGTATTGTTTCAGAATAAAATATTACAGATATCTTTACTAAGACTTTTGAAAAGGTTAAATTTTAGAAATTCAGAGAAGGTTTGAAATTGAAATAAATTTTGTATACTGTTATTTAAGTGATGTTTATTTAAATATTTTTACTTGAGATGAAATAGATTTTGGTAATGTCCTTATGTAAACTAAATCATATTTAATTTTTATTTTAACATTTAAGTTAATAAAAAGACACTTTTTTTAAAAAATAATTTGTGTTAAGTGTTGAATGTTATTGTTTATATCTATGCTTAATTGTAATTGGTATAGATGAAAAGGTTGCTTATATCTATGTGTATTTGTAATTAGTAAATATAAATGTAAGGAGGCGTGTTAGTTTGGTACATTTATCTTTCCATGTTGACAACACTAAGCTTCTTCACTGCGTACGAGCCTTTTGATGTTAGTGTAATGTTGTGCACTTGTTAAGTTTCAATAAAAAATGTAAAAAGATATGTTTCTTAATTTTCGACTTGCTTCTCGATATGATATCAGTTTATTTAACAGTGATACTATATCATTATGTGCATAATATATGAATGTTTTCTCTCATGCAATAATTTGGTATAATCTTTGTAGTATATAATATATGGATAAATGATGGTAACCATGATTTTTTCCCCCAAAACTTATTTAATTTTGAATTTTTTTATATACTTTGTTAAGTTGCTTGCATTATTTTGTAATGCAGCTGAATGCATTATTTTTTTCTAATTTTGTCATAATGTTTAGCATTCTTGTCAAACATACATTGACGAATTCATGGTATTAAAGGAAAAAATGCAAGAATATCTAGCCCTTTTCTGTGAAACACTTTCAAGATTTGATCATTATTTACAAATTCAGAACTTCTCTACAACCCCAAACCTAAATACATGTGTTTAAAGCTATGATGCTTTCAAATAGGCAATTGTTGCGCATTTATGATGCATAAACTCGTGTTTATAACTGTTTATAAATATATGTCACAGTGTTGAATAGTATTAGCAAGAAAAACAAATTCTTTTGTTTTCCTGCAGGATACAGAATTTCCAGGTGTTGTTGCAAGGCCAATTGGAGAATTCAGAAGTACAGGAGAATATCAGTATCAGTTACTGCGATGTAATGTTGATTTATTAAAAATCATTCAGTTGGGTTTAACATTCCTGGATGCGAATGGCAATGCTCCTCCAGAGTTTTCAACATGGCAGTTCAATTTCAAATTTAGTTTAGTGTAAGTATAAATTTAGTAGCAGTAATAATTATTATTCCAAAGCATGATCTCAGAATTTTATTTCTTACTGTACTTTAGAAAAATTTATATTTCTAATTATGTAGAACATAATGTTGCAGAAAAAGTGATTGTATATTTTTTTTAAATCATTCTTAATTGTAAATTATTTAATGTGTGCTAGGGAGGACATGTTTGCTCAAGATTCTATTGATCTTTTAACAAATTCTGGTATTCAGTTCAAAAAACATGAAGAAGAAGGTATAGAACCTAATGAATTTGCACAGCTTTTGATGACTTCGGGTGTTGTGCTTTCAGATAATGTAAAATGGCTGTCTTTCCACAGGTATCTTTTAGCTAACTCTTTTCTTTTAATAATTAATTCTGTTAAACAAATACTAACGCTCTGAAATAATTATACAGAGAATTTGAAAAGATCACATGACTTAATTTCTCTTGAACTGAAGCTCTTGGCTATAGTTGGTTGTAGCTGTTTTCTAGGTTTAAAATTGATAAGTTTTTAAATTTCTTATATTCATTGAAAAAACTATATTTTAATAAGTTAAAATGCCTGTAACATACATAAGAATAACATTATCATTAGCATTAACTAATTAGTATTAAACGTGTTAAGTCTATGTTATCAATTTTAATGTCCCTGAAAAATAATTTAGGGGGCATTCATAGGCAATTTTTGTAAAACATTAATTTACAATTATCAATTTTTAACAAAATGTTTATTAACTTTTTAGCAGTTTATTTTGAATGTTTGTAATATCATAGTCTTCAGATTGAGGCTAAGTAAATATGAGGTAACCACAATTGCAGAATATAGGTAGGTTAGGTGGAAAAACAGATGAATTTTAAGAAGACAGAAAAACTGATCTTGCTTGCCAGTCCAAGGTTTTGTGATGAGGGGAGTAATGTTTGCTAGGGGAACTACTCAACTTTATTTTAAAGTCAGAGCAGCATTAAAATTTAGTATGAACTTGAAATCTAAACACAGTCTCTAAAACGAGTATATTGTCATCACTAAACTCATAGGTTCGTACCTCCAGTGTCAGAAACAAATTAAGTAAATTAAGCTAAACTCTTTCGGGATGAAAGGGTGCAAATGTGCACATATTGCTTGGGCCACTTGTTTCTTTTGCAAGTGTCTCTCCAGGGCTGGAGGGTTTTTCACTAGTAAGCCTAAATCTGCGAAATTACATAAAGATCAGCATGTTGTTTAATGATATTCTGTAGGGTATATAATGTGGTAAATGCTTTATATATTTTATATTTACAATTTTTTATATACTTTTTTTAAATATTTTTATTTTGCACATTAACCTTTTTCTGTATTTGCTTCCCGGTTAGTCACTTTTGATATTATTCAATTGACTATAAACATTTTACTTAAAATTCATTTTTAGTTTGATGGATTTCAAAGCAGGGATCTACACATGTGTGGATCCTTGCATTCCTAATAGCTAATTTACCATTTGAGAGGATTTTGGGTGGGAGTATGAACAAATGAAACATTGCCATCACACTTTCTTAGAACTTTCAACGTTCTTGCTGCCTAACATTGTTCATGAGAAATGTAAAAGGAAACCCTATAATAAATAAACTAGGCATTGGAAAGAAGGAAAGATACATACAAAAGAAAAAAAGGTCTATAAAAGTTATTATTTTTTTTTGAGACAGCAAAATGACACATTAAAAATTAACTTCAGAGAATTACATTAGAAGAAACAAATTTCATCACTGTAAAATGAATAAACTTCTAATACAAATTATTCTTTATGAAAATAAAACTTTGAAACCTCAAATTTCATATTTTCAATTTGGTCTTAAATATCTGAAAATAAAAGATTGAATTGGGAGCAGTCATATCAAGTTATTCCAAATACACTTACTGAACACTTCTTATGCATTATTGTCATGTACTCATTCAGATGATTTAGTGCTTCCTGATATAAGGGAAAATATTTAAAAATTAACAAGTGTAATTTTCAAAGAAATTATATACATATTATATGCAATCAGTATTCAAAAGCACATTTTCAGGGTCCGCATTTTTTGTTAAAAGATTTAATGTGTTTCAGAAAAAGGTATTGTTTTCTATAATAAACATTTTACAGAATTGAAAATTATGTATTCCATTTTAAGTACTAAAATTAAACTGCTCATATCTTATTTTCGGAAACAGTATTTCAAGAAATATTTATTGCTTATAAATTTTACTGAGTCTTACCAATGTTTTACATCTCTTTATCTGTATATCTAAAGATAACTTGCTGTACAAATGTTTTAAATCAGTTTCCAATAATAACTTAGAAGTGTAGCATATTAGAAACATATTTCTATTTTTGAAAATAGCAAGATCTTCAGATATATTACACCTATTGTTATTACATTATTTGTGAAAAATAATTAGCTTGTAATTATTTTTTTTATATGCAGAATTAAAGTTAAATTGGCATATTTTATATAATGCTAGGCTTCTTTCACTGGCAGAAAAGTCTCGTATTATTTTTGGAAAAGAAGGTTTAAATTGATAATGTTTGTTAAATAAATATGATAACAGTAAAGGTTTTTGTTTAAAGTGAGAGTATGTTACTTACAACATTCAGCTTCTTAATAATAGGAAGAGACATGTAGGACATTATTGGTACTTTTCTATTAACAGGATGCAACTTAGCAGCAGATATAAATATTGGCATGAAACCTAACTAAATGGTGGCAACCACAATGATAATGTAAAGCATCCTGAAAAGAGTAACTTCAGATATTGGATTCAGAATAACTACACAAAAAAAGACACATACAACAAAAAAAAAAAAAGGGGGGGGGGAAAAAGGGGGGGGGGGGAGAGATCTTACTAAGATTTTAGATTAAACATGTGGCATTAAACTGCTGATTTCATTTAATACTACCTAAAATATTTAAATTTTTTCAGTCAATTCCCACCATATATGAGTTCAGTGAAGTAAGAATCTAGATAGGTGGCTGATGTTTATTTTGCAAAACTGCATTGAGTGTCAAGATCAGTAATTTCTTATTTCTGGTTAACTTGCAGGTGTTCATTCATCCATTTAAGCAATTGAAAATGGAAGAGAAAATTTTTGAACTGATATTTGTTCTTCCCTCTTATTCGCAATAACAACATTGCACAATTAGTCATGATGCAGCGTAAAGAGGCTACCACATTTAGCACTTGTGATGCCTTTAACTATTTGTGTCTCGTTAACAGAAAAATGCCAGTTTATTATTTCACATCTTTCTCATATTAACATAATTTTTTCTTTTCTACTTTCATTTTCCAGTGGTTACATACTCATCCATCAGCATTAAAGTAATACCCTACCACCAGCTTTTTACTGTTGCTAAAACTAGGTGTAAAAATTTATTGCTGCGAATCTAATTTTTCCTTGAGAAATGTTACAATAATAAATAACATATTTATCTAATAAGTATAAATAACATCTAAATCATAATAGTAGTGATTAGACAAAAATATAAAATATACATTTTATATGATATATAATGCAAAGTCCAAGATCCAAATTCATCAAGACTTCAATGATTTTTGGATTTTCTAGATTTTAAGTCATCAATTTAGATCTAGTAAGATGACATGCAGCAATGTTAAAAATATGAAATAGTTGTGTATGAAATAATAAAGTATTTATGACCATAAGGAAATCAAAGTTTACAAGAGAAAACTCAGTATTTATTTATTTGCTTTACTAAATATTTCCTTCAATATAAGTTGCTTAAATTGCTCAATTTTTTGTGTGCTAGTATTCTCTTTAATTTTATTAGATAGACAAATTTTTATATGGTTACAAAGTTCCCTTGTTTTAGTCTTTTAATTGTACTGAGAATTCCCACTAATTGAAGTTTTCTTGTTTGAAATTTTTTCATTCTCAGCAACCTTCTTGTAACTTTCTTCACTATCAGTAGTTGGCATTTTCTGTATTTAGAACCATACTACAGATTTTGTTGTCCATTAATTGATTGGTGATTGTGGCATTGCCATCACAATGCAAAACTTCTGTTTACTAATAGCTTCATTTATTAGCACTTACACACATTTCTTCATTAATTATAAAATTTCACTTTTTGTTTGCAATATCTGAAAACCTTCAAGTATGTGCTATCATCATAAAGCTTAGTTAGCATTTGATGTTCACTGTATATTGTGAGATTGGAGACTAAAGACATTGTACTGCTAAATTTTGACTTGCTTGTATTGCACACTCAGGAAGTTTAGCTGGAATTAGATTTGTTGTTTTACTTACATCTGTTTTCCACATATGCATAAAGCTTATGTGAGTTTCAAATAAATTACCAAATATACTGTAGGCTTATATGAGCAACATATCAGTTGTTCTTAATTTAAATATCACTAAATATAATATTTTAGCTTATGAATGTCATTTATTAAATCTGTTCATGCATACGAAAATAAATTTCTCGTAAATTTCTAACACTTTGCAATGCAGTTGGATCAAGTGTTTAATCATCACAATGTATAATATTTTCTGATGGGTAAAAGGTTATCATGCTGTTTGGTATTCAGTTACTAATACTTGAAAAAGAAATATTTTAGACATCACTAAGGAGTCATTCCTGAAGCTGGCATGAGCTGATAGTCATGTGGAAGTGAATGCAAAAACTGATGGAAAATGACTTGCTAGGTTGGCGTCAGGGATGTAAGTCATGCCACAACAGCCTCTTACAGGATTTGGCTGCCTCAGGCATGTGCTCCTTATAGGATCTTCTTTCTGCAATGATTTCTTTCCAGTTTTTTTATTTTTTATTTTCAAAGTTTTTAATTCTTTTTTAATGTCATTTAATCATCTAGGAGGTGGTCTTCCTTTCGCTCGAGATCTCTCAGGTTTTTTTAATGTCAAGCCTTGCACTTTGTTGAGGTTTCTGAACTGTGTATTGTTTTACCAGGTAGGATAGTTGGCCTTATGCCCAACCCCAAACTGGAGGGCCAGTCCCTAGTTATGAGTAAGATATGGGCAAAATGACTGGTTATACTCCCAGATGCTAGGTACTCGTTTTAGTTGTCTCTTATGACATGCATACGTAGGTTATTCAGTAGGTGTAAAAATAGCATAATAATCCAATGGACTGTTTCAGAATGAAATATATGCCAAGCAAGAAGGTGGCTACAGAAGCAAACTATTGATCATGCAGATTTATGCTAATAAAGAGGGCATTTCTTCCAACATGGAGGTGTTTTGTTTAGTACTGAAGTGAAGCTAAGAACCAGGATCCTCCTCAAGCGTTATTATGTAAAAAGTCTGCTGTGAATGTGTGAAGCATTAAGCATATGCTCAAGTGAGGCACTACTCTCTGAATTTATTTCTTCTCTCTTTTCACAAAAAAATTCTAAAAAAATTGTGTATGGTCTGGAGGTCCAGATATTGGATGTCTTGATTTTGATTGTTGCATTGTATGTAATTCCATCAATACAATATTTTAAAGGGGATTTGGAAATAACCAATCATGCGTGAAAAATAACTGCAGTCTCATACAGTATCTTCATAACTCTCATACAGTTTTGTGTAGTAGCTATAAATAAAGTATACTGCACGTAAATTAGTCAGTAGTACACAAAACATTAAATTCACATTTTATGCATAACTTCATTTCTTCTTAGTCTTGAATCTGTATTAGAAAGCTGAAGATGCTCCTGGTAAAGTCTTGAAACATAAGTAAATTGAACAGATGCTTACTTTTTTTTTAACCATGGAAATTCAGTTTATCTTTTTTACTATCTACTTTCCTCTCACATTCTAAATGCTCACGTTTAGAATGTGAGAGGCAAAAGAACATTTATTTTTCTATGAGCTAAAAGTTAAAACTATATTAGAATATGTTTTTGAAAATATTTTTCTATGAAAAATTCATTACCTTAGAGTTTATTTATTTACTGTTAGTATTGTATAAGTGTTTTTTTAATTTTTATTTTTTTTATATTTTTTGCAGTAGTTATGACTTTGGATACCTCCTAAAGCTTCTTACTGACCAGAATTTGCCTTCAGATGAAGCTGAATTTTTTGATTTATTGAGATGGTATTTCCCAACTATTTATGATGTTAAGTACTTAATGAAGAGTTGTAAAAATCTCAAAGGTGGTCTTCAGGAAGTAGCAGATCAGCTGGAAGTAAGTAAATACACTAAGCCATACCTGCCAACTTTTACGAATTTTTCGTAATTTTTACGAAAATGCATTTGTCTTTACAATTTTACGATCGTAATCCATTTTTTACAATTTTTTTCCTTTTTCAAGTGTTTTTAGTGATTTTTGTAGAAATTTTAGAATTTTTCGCCAATTCAGCGTTTTTTGCCGATTGCATCGTGTTTTACTGCCAACTACCGACTACTTTGAATCCAGTAACCTGCGGTTTCTCCCAACTCACCGCTTAACCAGCCAATCCAATGCGCTGAACTTGTTTCTCCCACTCTTTTCTTTGTGGGCGCCAGATTATTATTTTCACGTTCGCTTCAGCAGCAAGGGAATTACTCAGCTCGGACTTGGCGAGCGTGGATTGTCGCATTCTGTTTTCTTTTTGTTTGCACGTGCAATTTTCTTAATACGTCGTTGTTACGAAATGAGTTAAAAAAAACCGTATTCTCAATATTTTCGGCCTGCCTACAAAGCCGAATTTCCAACAATTAAAGAATCCTTCAAAGGAAATAACTATGCATTTTGCAACGTGTGCGTGTGTGACTTCATAATAAGTCACGGTGGAAGAAGCGACATTGTGAAGCACGTTAAGTCTAAAAAGTCCACACAGTAATGCTGAGTGCGAGAGAGTCTTCAGTGTGGTGAAGAAAAACAAAACTATGTTTCGTTCTTCAATTTCACCAAAAACTCTAGAAAACATTTTAATTGCTAAATGTTATGACAGGAAATTTTCCAAAGAATTTTTGGCTAAAGCCAAAAAATGCACTCCAAATTCATTGCAATAATTTTTTTGTGTAACATTAAGTTCTTGTTTTATGATTCCTAATAAATTTTTAGTTACTACTTAATTGAGATTTACTAATGTAAGTACAATTTTCTTTTTTCTATTTGTATAAATTGTTATTGTTTTAATATAAAAGCATGATATTAATTCTTCATGTTCTTCTGAATTTTGGAGAAAACTTCTGAATTTGGGGGAGAAATCTTCTGAATTTTTATCTTTAGAGGTTGGCAGGTATGCACTAAGCCATACACCATGTGGTAATCAAATAATAATTATGATTTTCATTTATAATTATCTAAAGTGAGGTTTAACATTTGTAACTGATTTAATTTTAATGATAATCACTGTTTTCCATTGTTTTTGAAATTTGTAACACTTAGCAAGAGTGCTGAAGATGTCAAAATATGAAGCAGTGAAAGAGGTATTATTTTCAGTTATTAAATCAGCCTTTATGTTGCTTAGTGTTTCAGATAATAAATGTTATCTAAATTATATTTAAATAATAATGCATTTTTGGCAGTAAATCACTGTAAAATGTGAAGCCGTATTATAGTGCTTGTATTCTGACCTCTCTTGTCATGTTAGTGTTGTCTTAAATATTCTTCCATTAGTAAGGAATGCTAGGAAATTCAGTACTACCTGTAATAAAAATGCTTGTTCTTAAGGTAATGTCTGCTTAAGTTAATATTAGCTTATTAAACTTAAGGAAGTCTTTTGAGTTCTAGCTGCAAAACTTGCTATTATCAAATATGATTAATTTATTTGATACTTCTGTTTGAAAATGTAATAAAATTTAGACCAATTTCTGTCATCAAAATGTTTGCATAACTAAGATCAATAAATAGGTTTTGAATTAAAGTTAAGGATTGGATAATGAGGATAAAATCTGAACTTCTGGTAATGCTTGTGGCATTTGAATTTACTGAAGGATAACGAATATCAATATTAAAATTCTTTTCACTATGTAGGAGATTCTTAAAAATAAGAATGATGTATTTGTGAGCTACTTTAAACTAAGTCTAGTTCTTTTCTGCTTATTATTCATTTTTACTGAATTTAAATTCTAAACATTTTTACAGGTCATTCAGAAACTTGAGTTGAATGGAGAGCGGATTCATGTGTTTCTATTGCCTTGCAGAAAGCTTTTCCAGACATCCATAGTATGTGAAGCAAATAAGTTTAACCCCTTCGTGCCTGGTAACGCAAACGCGCGCTTATCGCGGAGGCCGGCAGTGTCTTACGCGAGCATCTGTCCAGGGCCGGGGGCTTTGCTATTAAGCCTAAATCCATGAAATTTCCGAAGTATCAACGCATTGTTTAATAATGCTCTATAGAGTATTTAAACGGATTATGCTTTATAGATACTTTTATATATACTTTTATATATACTTAATTACCTTATTTCTTGTTTAAATGCATATTTTACACATTTTATTTTCATTACTCACCATTTTATGACTTTTAACATTATACATTTGAAAACTAAATATATTACTTAAAATTCTCTTTTCGTAAAAAATTTGAAAGCAGGGATCTACACACAGTCCTACGTTACATTCCTTGCACTCGTAATAACTCATTTGCCATTTTATAGAATTTTTCCGGGAATTTGAACAAACTAAGCATCGTCGTCTCATTTTCTTATCAGTCTCTTCTGAACAAAGTTTTGGAAAATGTCTTTCAATTAATCATTCAGAATATCAGAATTTCAGAATCAATATCTGAAATATTTTGCATCATTTCTGCTATTTCATGCTCTGTTAAACATTTTCGACGCTTCGACATTGCAACCGTAAAAACAGAAAGAATTCACGTCTAACAAGATCTAATTATTTTCTAAAAACTGAACTGCAAACCGAAATACCCAATGCTTTAGCGAAAATAAAACTTCTCTACTTACAATAAACAACTACCACGTGCGAATTTAAAGAGACGTCATAAATCACGCCATTCGGAAACATTTAGTAACCTTTTGTTTATCTAATCAAAAACACGTGTATGTTAGTTATGCTTCTCTCATTTCGAGTAGAAGGTCTAATTACATGTATCTGAAACCATATGGACATACAGTGCCATCTTGTGGCAGAAATTATAGTTTTCAAAACGTTCCAGGACACTGGCACAAATACGTGACAGTCGGGGCTGAACGGGAAAATGCTCTGGCACGCTTGCGTGTCTGCCGGGAAGTGCGTGTGTTCGTTGCTGGCACGTAGACGTGACAGTCGGTGCGAAGGGGTTAATGCTGTCATATACTATGTGATCAAAAGTACCTAGCTGCTAGTAGATTAGAGTTATCGTGCATATACTGTATTTCCTTGCATATTTTCTGCCTAGCCTTTCAGTTTTAGGTTCTGAGATTTTTTAAAATATTCACATAATTTGTTTCCTTCCCCTGTTCATAGTTTCTTCCTCTGAGAGCTAGTTTATTGGTAAATTGTGTTCTGTTAATTATTTTTATTCAGTATATTCAGTATGTATTTGCATTTTTGTATTTTAGCAGTTCATCCATTTTATTTTCCCTTACATTTAATTTTTGAAGTGTGTTTTGTGCAGATTCCTTGCTATGGTGTCTGGACATGGCAGGTGTTCTCGTAGTTAAGAAACTTTCCAAGTGTCTGATTTCATCTTACTTCTGTTATTTGTGTTCCAGCTAATTGTAGCCTTATCTACTTCTGATGTGTTTGATCTTTCAAAATCTGGGCCTTTTGTTTGCTTTTTCTCCTTTGTTCCATTTATGTCCCTCTTGAGAACTTCAACCAAAACTTATGTTAGGTGTCCCTGGGGCGTTGCAAGGTAATTTATCTGGACAATAAGAATCTAATAAAATATAACATAATAAATCATAAGAGCATAATATGTTGCACTTCTTGTAAAGAAATAATGTGATAGTTACCAGTAATTTGTCCAGGACTACTTTTCTTTTGTTATGTTCTTAGTATAACCACAGTCTTTAGAAATTAAATTACTCTGATAATTTTCCCCTCTCAGGTTTTGGATGGTAAACTAGTTAAAATAAAGGAAAGAATATGCAAAGAAGTTTGGTATATGCCTTTGCAATAGAAATTAGTGTGGACTGGGGCTCCCGTTGTTTGTAACAAAGTGGCCACTGTATTAAGAAGTCTATCTACTAGATTTTGGCATCTTGTTGCTGAATACTCAGATCTTGCTCGGTCAACCAGGCCACAATATCTAAAACTGAGCCATAGTGTCCAAACAGATTAGGCTTTGTGTCCTGGCTATCAAACAACATTCCATTTCATCCTTTAAATGTTCTGTAAGATTTAGATTGGAGCTCTGAGCTGATGAATCCATTTCCACAATATCCATATAAAAAAAGCCATGTGTTAACTGAATGTGATATTTGGATTGGAGCCTGATTGCTGAAACAGGAAGGGTTCCACATGCTGTTGCCACAGTGTTGGTAGCTCTGGATTGTCTATAGATTGATCACAGAGTTTCGTAATGCCTATGTATTGCATAGATGTTAATGAACTGAACTTTCTTATTGTTGCAGGGGCTGGATATGCAACTAAATCATCATTAATGAGTCCACTTACACCATGGAAGAATGGATCGTAGTGACACATGGGCTCACGAGCGACCCTCCCCCCATATATGAAATTCAGTGAGATACATTCAGCATGATTTCACTGTTTGGTTGCATGCATGGTTTCAGAAACCTTCCCCTCCAAAATCAACAATGGCAGAAAAAGCTCTTTGTAACTGGTTGCATAAAAGACAAGCCCCACTCTGAATGACCTCCAAGACAATTAGAACCATGTTTGGAGGCTGCAACATCTGTCAAATTTTTGCCAAAAATGTCTATTCATGAGTGGTCACAGGAATTGGCTGTTTCATACTCAACATTACAGAAACATATAACAAAGGATTTGCAATTAAAAGCATTTAAACTTTCATTTGTAAATGAATTAAGTGATAGTGACGTGCAAGAATGTCAGCAGGCTTGTGGGCAAATGCTCAATGTCTTTACAACTTTTCCTTCAAGGGGGAGAGTGTTTTTCTCAGGTGAGTGTGCAATGTATTGCAGTGCAAAAGCCAGAAACATTTATTTCTGGGGAAAAGCAAACCTACATTTTTATGAAGAACAAAACCCACCACGTGTTACGATCTGGTCTGCAGTGTTTGGAAAGCAATTGGTAGGTCCTATTTTTTTGACGGTGCTGTGAATCAT